AGAATCCCACCTTTCCCTGTTGGATCAAGCGTGCCGTGAAATCCACGCCTTCTTTATTCCTTCCTGTTGGCTCCTGTGCCATGCTGCCTTGCTGGGTACGCGTCTGTGCAATCATCAAGAGGTCGCGACTGTGTATGCCCATGTTTCCATGGCACGTAAGCACGTCACACCCACCTGTAGGCATGCAGCCGGAGGTCAGGTCGCCCCCAGAGCACCGTGTGCTGCAAACACCCAGTTTTCACCCACGCAGGATGGCTTGGATGCCTCTTGCCCGTGCCCAGCCTCAGGCCCCTCCTCGCGTTGCCTCCCCTGCAACCAAAAGTTTCAGCGTGGCCATCATCCCCTGCAGGGAACCTCCTGCACCTCTGCCTTGGAGGGCCTGGCACGCCTCACGCACAGCACTCGCCAGCCTCCGTTTTACACGCTGCTGTGCAGAAAGGGTGTGAGGGCAGCAGCACCTCTTCTCCTCCTCATCCCAGGGCCCAGGCTAAGGGAGCTCGGGAAGCATCAGCAAGCCATGCTGGGGGCTGTCAGGACCCTGTGGTTCTCAAACCACATCACCCACCCCGTGAGAGATCAGAAACACGGAAAGCACACACTGGCTGAAGGTCGCAGTCCACTGAGGGTCACTACAGCGGCTCCGCTGACTCATCACACCCTCCCGCACCGACTGTTCAGGAGGTGTATGCAGACACGCGCATATATATGTGGACACACTCATGCATGCACACACACATGCCACATACACACATACACACATGCACGCACACGCACACGCTTGAGGAAAGTCCTCTCTCTTGCTGAACTATCCTCAGTCCCAGTGCATGACAGGTCTCCTAGTGGGAGGTCTCCTAGTGGGCTCTGGCTTCTGACATTTTCAGGGTCCTCCGTGACACACACTCTAGAGAGTGCATCAACTCCTCACTTAAGAACAGCTTGAGAAAGGGCTTCCCTTTCACTGCACAACATAAGCAGGCTCTTCGCACAGCTGGTTCCCTTGTCTTTCAAGTAATAATGCCCTCCACCTTCTTCAACTGGCCAGACACCTGTGGGCCGCAACACCCATGTCAAGCTGCTGGCAGAGGCCCTTCGTAGGGTCAATGGGCACAGCACAGAGTTCACAGCAACCCACACCGGCGTCTGCTCCCCTTCGAGAAGTGATGGGGGTGCTGGGGCTAAGCTTTGACCCTGATGTGGCCATGGTGCCCCCTCTGCTGCCCCACCAGGCCTTTCTGGGTGACCTTGCTGTGCCCCTGCTGCTGATGTGGGTGGGAGGGCGCTCCCCCAGGGCTAGGCTTCTTGCATGGTCTCCTGTCTCAAGAAACTGCTTTCTGGGAGAAGGGGAGGTGTCCCTGACTAGGAGGAAAGGAGCCGTGAGAAGGCCGTCCCCACATCTCAGCATCTGCTCTGGGTTGGACTGTGCCCCTTACCCCCAAATTCATGTTGACGACAGCACTCCCCCAAGGCATGGGGCTCACTCAACTCTGAATCCCGGTGTCCAGGGCTGGACCAGTCCACTCCATCCCTCCAATTCCTTGCCAGTTGTAGGTGTGGCCACCCTCTAGCAAGGGGAGCTCCTGGCCTCCCCCCGAATCTGGACTCACCCTAGGGACTTGCTGAACTGAAAAAGCGCAGCAGAAATGACATGCTGGAATTTCTGAGGCTGGGTCACAGGAAGCCTCGTAGCGTCTGCTTGGGTCTCTCAGGACACTCTCAGGAAGCTCACTCTGGGCAGCGCAAGCCACGCCGTGGGCACTGCCTGAGGAGGTGCCACGTGCAGTCTGAGGAGCACTGAGACCCAGACAGGAGTGCCAGTGCCATCTTAAGTGGGTCTTGCAGTTAATGCCACACATAACAGACAAACCCTTCAGCTGAGCCCATCCCAAACGCCCCACAAAATTGTGAGCAATGTAAAATGGCTGATTTAAGCCACTAAGCCTTGGCTTGTACAGCAACGGGCAACCAAAACACTGACCATTTCTTCCAAGAGGCTCTAAGCAGCCTCACGGAGACAGAGAAGTCCTGCCTGGCCTCACCCAGCACCATCCAATCCCTACCTGCATCCAGAGTTCAGGGAGGATGAATGAACTAAGCTATTCAGACGGTCTATTTTAATAGGAAAATGTTTTTAATTGGAACGTTTTAGAAATAAGATGATGCTATGTCTTCTATAGTTACTCATTTACACTGAAAAGTGATAGGTAACTTTTAAGACGTTTGCTTCCATTCTCCCCTGACTCCTTGATGTGATAATTCCTTCCATGAAATACAACCGTTCTCCCAAGTGACGCAATGATGAGTATGTGCATGACTCCGGAGGGAAAGGGTCTACATCTGTCTCTGCTTGTGCCTCGGGTTGGTTTTACAACAGACGTACCACCGGCCCCGCCTCTTCACCAGGTAACAGTCCCTGCAGCGCTTCTTAAGAACCACCTTGGATTTGAAACTCAGCGCGGGCAGCAGGCGGGGCAGGAGGCCGGGTGAGAGAAGTGAGCGTACTTCTGCCCCGGCTTTCACAGCCACGGGGGCTGCACCTCGAAGGGATCCCATCAGAAACGTGGAGAGGACTCGAGGCTTCACTGTGTGACGACTAAGATATAGCAGAGGGTTCACTATCTTCCTTATAAAAAGATTTGCCATGTTGTGGCGAATCTATGGGAGAGAGAAAAAAAGGTGTTATAGTTTCTCCTGCGATTCCACCTGCTCTTTAAGGCTTCCTTTTCCCTGTTTCACTGAGGCTTGGGAGGGCAGGGACTTTGGGGTCGGAGGGCATTCCAGTACCAGCTGCAGCCTCGACCTGAGCTTCAACACTGCCTTAATCAGCCAAGTGTGCCAGGAGAATAAGGGGCAGTGGACGGTGGCTTCCTTCCCTTCCTGCTTGCTGCAAGTGTAGGCGAGTGTGCAAAGCCCCGCGATGTTGAGGAGCGGCTCACTTGGCTGGGAGGGAGCTTAAACTTAGGCCTCATCCCTTTCCAAACAGTTACACCAGGTCAAGGGCGGTTCAACTTACGAGCTCCTCCCTCCAACTTTCCCCAGTCCCAGGGGCCCTCCTTCGGGCCAGCTTCGGGACAAACCCCAGGGACAGCGACCCCCTGGCCCCGGCCCTGGAAGGGCACGGAGCTCTGGGAGCCGGCCGCCCGCCCCTGCTTCCCCATGCGCCCCAGCCCCTAGGGTTCAGTGGCCCCGGCTGGGAGGAGCTGGGTCTGCAGGGCCCGGAGGACACCGCGGCACCGGGGCCGGCCCTGCGGGCTGGCCGTGGCGTAGCGTTCGGGAGCCGCCGGGTCCCCCGCCCTGGGTTCGCTGGGCACCCCCTCCCGTCGGCCCTGTCGGGGGCCCATGGTCGGACCCGCGCCCCCCACCCTGGCCCTCCGAGACCGCCAGGCCCCGGGCCACGCTCCTCTGACCGCGGCCCACTAGGAGAGACAGGCCCGAGGGTTTCAAGGTGGCCGGCCCCACCCTTTCGCAGCCCCAACCCTCAGGACACCCAGGACCACTGACCACAGAACACGGCGCCCGTACCTGGCCGCACGCTCTCACCTAGCGCCGTTCCCCGCGTCTGCGCACTGGCGCGCCGACGCCGCTGCCAGGAAGAAAGATGGCGGCAGTAGGGTCACGTGGCGTGTCCACATCCAGTGCGGGGCGCAGAGACGCAGCCGCGAGTGCGCAGGCGCTGGAGTCCGACGCATCACTCTCTGACTGCGCACTACCTGAGGGCCACCGAGATCGCCGCCTTGTGGGACTGGAGCGCTCTCGGGAAAATAAATGCAAAAACAGGAACGAAAATGGATATCCGGAACGAAAAGAAATTACAACCAATTAGACCTTAGAAAAAACTGCCAAATACCAATGTCAAAACAAACTGAGAAGGAGGACATGTTTTTAAGTGGACAGGAGAAATGTAAACAGGTTCCGGGAAACGAGTGGAGACGGGCAGTAGTTGCAGCTGGTTACGGCTATTTTTCCCAACATTATGAGAAACTTCAGACATACAGAAAAAAGGAAAGAATTTTACTGTGAACACCCATATACTTGCCACCTAGATTTTACACTTAGTTCGCTTATCCCTGCCTTTTCAGGTATCTACCCGTGACTCCATCCGCCTTCCTTTGTGTGTCCAGGTGAGTTGCAAACGTGGCTGCATCCACCCCGCGCTCCCTGCAGGCCCCAACGCTTCATCCCAGCTCCCGCTTTTCGCACCTGACCCGGCAAACACCGGCCAGGGCGCTAGAGTTTATCAGCTCCAGAACAAATCTCCCTCTGACCACCACGTTTGCTGGGACATCTTTCCATTTTCAGGAGGTTTTTACGTGCATTCTTGTTTCTCATCGCCTTTCCCCCTCTTCAGCCTCTCACCGGCGACTCATCCATCTCTACTGTTCTGTTCTTCGAGTCACCTGGTCCTCAGGCTCTGACCACAGCAAATAAAAGCTGGATGCTGGAGCGTTAAGCTGGGATTTATACCAAGTCAGCTCTAAGCAAAATGGGCCTTTTTAGAGGCTGTATTTGCATGCTGTAAAATCAATTGGTGTACTAGGCTCTGTGGCAGAAATCCCCCAAATATACTTTTCCTCCGCGGTTCCCCATAACCACACTCAGGAACGCTTGCCTTGAGGAGAATGCACTTCCAGTCTCTTCGGCTAAGCAGTCGACTCCTTCACCCAACATATATATATATATTTTTTGATATTTAACCGTCTCATGATTATCGGTTACCATAAAAATATAAACAATGTATTTTCAGTTTACATCCTCCCCTGCCTTTTCCCTTAAATAAGAACCACTGGGTACTCCTAAGCGCTGAAGATTGCGCACACCATTGCCTGCCTCATCAGGGCCCTAGCTCCAGCCTGCGGCTGCAACTGCGTGAGGCTGCACCTGCTGGCGCAACGGGACAGCGCCTGCGCACCCTCTGCCTCTGCCCGCGCGCTCCCCAGGGCGAAATAAGTCCCGGGGGTTTGGCGCCGCCAGAAGCCGTGCGCATGCGTCCGCGCTGAGGGAAGTTGCGCCGGGTCAAAGGTCAGCTGCTCAAAATGGCGGCGTCAGTGACCTTCTACCGGCTGCTGAGCCGGTGCGGCAAGGCGGCGCGGAGCCGGCCCCTGGGCGCCAGGTGTTTCGGGGTTCGGGTCTCGCCGACCGGGGAGAAGATCACACACACTGGCCAGGTAACGGCCGCTGAGTACAGGATGCCCCTTTCTCCGGCCGCTCCTTAGGCGGCTGGTGGCGGTGGGCTCGCCGGGCATCCGCGGCTCTGGTTCTGCGCCGCCAGCAGCGCAGGTCGTGGTAAGGTTGTGCTTCTATGAAGCTCACGCGCCGGGGAGGACGCTCACGGGTCGGGACGGTGGCGGCAGCCTGTAGCGGTGGGTCTTGTCCTTCCAGGGCCTACGGGCAGCACTTGCTGTGGACTGGCTGCCCATAGGCGATCTGTGGCCGCCTATTCTTTGGGTCAGAACGTTTAGAATTTGTGTAATATTCAATAATAAATTTTAGTAACCTGAGAAGTCGGTTGTAGTCCAAAGCACAAAAAAGTCGTAATCCAAAATGAAGAACAAAGGTCCCTGTGTATATTGGAATGTGCCCTAGTAGATTTAAGGGGGGGATGTTAAAGCTCTGACCATATGCGAAAGAAGGTTGGAGGCGGTTCTCCTCGGTCAGGATTTGTCCCTCCGCCTTAGCTTCACCTTCCCGGGCTATGTCTCTGTGCTGCTCTCTGATTCAGGTGATCACCCGTTTTCATCCCAGGTATCTTGCTAAAAATGCCCCTGATTACACCGAGTACTGTGCCCCTCACTTGTTTGACTTTTCATCAATGGCCTAAAAGTTAAGAAAAACACTTTCCTGTAATTTATGATTGATATGAAGTGACTTCTTTCAGAATTAGGCTGTAAAAGTCACACATGGCCTTTTTGTTTTTTTCCAGGTTTATGATGATAAAGACTACAGGAGAATTCGGTTTGTAGATCGTCAGAAAGAGGTGAGTGAAAGATCTATTGAAGAGGGGTAAGCTTTCATAAAACTTTTATGTAACCAACAAGAAATAATAATTAATATATAAGATTTAAATAAATTTTTCCCATATTGCAAGCACCCTAACAGTTCTGGATGGGGTTCTACCTTTCTTGTAATATTAATTGTGTGTATTTCTGACTTGTTTCCCTGTGAAACACATAACATTGTAACCGTAGTTCTGGTTTACATATAAATGGAAGTGACCTTTTTAAAAATTCTTGTGTCTTACTCTTCTGAGAGTCTCAGATTTAAGTAAATCATATCAACTTAAAAAAATTACTTTTTTAACCACCTGGAGGTGTGTTTTTTATAGTTTTCACCAAATAAATTAGTATGTGTTTTTTACAGGTACTTACACTGACAAGTTGAAAATGGCACATGAGTTTTTCTTCCCTTAGTGGGTCTGTTAGCTCTATACATTGTAAGGGAAGATCAGTTCAGATGCCTGTGAGTGACCACTGGAGAAAGAATGTTGAAATTAGAATCCTTCTGCCTAAATCAGCCTATTTTTTTTTTTTTACCTGACTCCTCTATCACTCATGTCTATGAGTTCCTGAATTCTTAATTAGGTCAGGCTTGCCTCCATGTTTCCTGAATTTGCTTCCTGAAGGAAGCGTCCTTCACAGCCACCTTATTCACTCTTTTTCCCACTTTGGTTAGCCTGGTGATTCTTCTTGTTAACACCTTAGCTATCCCTAAATCGTGTATTTTCCCTTCTCCCTCAATCTTGGTTATGTTATCCATTCCCAGTGTGTAGTTTTTCTACTTCTATTCCAGAGCTACAGGGCATTCCAGAAAAGCTTACATGATTATGAATTGACTATAAATTCACATTCTCAAAATTCAGCTGGTTCACTGTTGTGTGGTTTGATGGGTGGGTGTGGGTGTCAGAAAAGTTTGTTTTATAGTGGTTGATTATTTGGCAATGCCACTTAAGTGTTGGCTTGAGAAAGATCCTGAGGCCTGAGCCACATTCAGTGAAAGAGTGTGCCATGATTGATTAGTCATGTCTGCCAGGATCATGGTGGTGGAGAGGGGCTTGTGTCTGGTGGGTTTACCTCTCGGAGTAGAAGCCGTGTGGACTTGCAGTCTAACAATTGTGAGGTTCAGTCACAGCATGGGTTCAGTTTTCTCATTTGTGAAATGGAACCGTGTGAATATTTTTAAGTGAATCATAAGTCTCCGGTGAGATCACACGTCAGTTGTTGAGTAAGTGGTGGCATACGGTAAGTCCTCCTTCTCTCCATCCTCAGAAACGCTTTTCTGTTTATTCTTTGACTTGTTAGTGTATTTCCCAGTAGAAGTGTCTGTTCCATATGCCACTTTCTCCAATGCTGTAGCCCAGTGATTCACACAGAGGAGCTCATGCATTGGGAATGGGACATTTCTTCTGTGTGCAGGCTGTCTTGGGCATTCTTGTTAGGTATATGAACTTGACATTTGGAAGGTGGAAACTGATGGACGTTGAGAGGATTTGCAGGCCCTTTGGTTTCTTTTGGCAGTGATTGTGGAGAAGGGGAGGTTTCTCCTAGTGTGGAAGCGGTATGGTTTCTTTTGGTGGTGACCGTGGAGAAGGGGAGAAACCAGTGGATGTGGGGAGGGTTCGCAGGCCCTTTGGGTTCTTTTGGCAGTGACTGTGGGAAAGGAGGTTTCTCCAAGTGTGGATGTGGTGTCCGTTCTCAGGTTTCCTGGGCATCAGTGGGTGGTTGTTACTGAGGCAGTGGCTGGACTCTACATCCCTGCTTTGTGGGTGTCGTGGTGGGGTTGTGGGGACAAAGTAGGAGCCTCAGATTGAGCAGTTCCGGAGCAGATTGGTCCTGAAGCCCTTGGGCTTATTCATGCAATCTGGCCCCCAGCCCAGCTCCCTGTCTCAGCTCTTGCAGTGACATGGCAAGTATGTGGGTCCCTGTCACAAACGCCTCTCTGCTGAACATGGTTTGTGTAGCTTCTGGTTTCTGGTTGGTGTAGCACAGGGTAGTGGGAAACAGCTTAAAAAGAAACCAAACAGAGTCAGGATTGGTGAAGCCAGTAAGGGTGGGTATAGGAGAGTGTGGTGGTGTCTGTGGCCGGCAACTCACCCAGGCCGTTGTGGCTGTGATCTCAATGCTCCAGCCGGCCCAGCCTCTCCAGTGCCTTCCCCCGTTTAGCATCCTGAGTGTCCAGGGCACATCTTGGCATCACACCTTGGAGGTTCAAGGCGTGTTTATAACATGATGAGTGGGCATCCTGCCCGAGCTTTCCTTCTTTCAGCACGTATTTGGTGGTTAGTACTATTTTTAGTAGTAGTTGTTTCGCTTCTGAGAGACTTAATTTTTTGGAACACTTTTAGATTTACAGAAAAACTGAAGAAGGTAGAGTTTTCACAGCCCCCCCCTCAGTTTCTGCTGTTTACTGCCATCTCTCATTAGTGTGCTGCCTGTGTCACAGTTGATGAGCTGGTACTCATACATTATTACTAACTCAAGTCCACAGGTTCACTCTCAATGTATGTTCTAGGGTTTGGATAGATGTGTGCTGACATGTGTCCACTGTGATAGTGTTGTACAGAGTTCACTGCCCTAAAAATTCTCTGTACTCTGCCTGTTCATCCCTCCCTCTTCCCAACCCCTGGCAGCCCTGATCGTACTGTCCCTCTAGTTTTGTCAAGTAATACCTTAACAAATAAACTGGGCCAGGTACAGGAGGCTTATGTCTGTCATCCCAACACTTTGGGAGGCCCAGGTGGGCTGATCACTTGAGCCCAGGCATTCAAGACCAGCCTGGACAACATGGTGAAACCCTGCATCTACAAAAAATATAAAAATTATCCCAGCATGGTGGCACATGCCTGTAGTTCGAGCTACGTGGGAGGCTGAGGTGGGAGGGTCATTGAGTCTGGGTGGTTGAGGCTGCAGGGAGCCGAGAGCATGCCACTATACTGCAGCCTGGGCAACTGAGCAAGACCCTATCTTGAAAAAAACATAAATAAATAAACTGAATCTGAACTTCACCTGTAGAACAAGAATAGCAGGAGGCTATATAATTGAGCTGGTCTGTGTGAAAAAAAGTGGAAAGTATCTCTGTGTGGCTCCTGCCCAGCTTTGACCAGGGGTGCCTGTAAAGGAATCCGTGGCCCCCAGACCTGTGACCGGCCTTCCTGTGAGGAGACTCCTCCCGTGCTAAAGAATGTGCCGCGCACCCCCAGCCCTGAAGGAAGGACCAGAAGTCAGGCCTCACATGGTCCTGGAGTAGGTGGCACTCTGGGGCCACATGAGTCAGTTGGAGGGCTGGAATGCACTTGGAAGTGACTAGGTATTTCTCTACTGTTGATGAACATATTTTCATTGTTTTATAGTGGTACAAGTGAAATTAAAAGCAGATATGACTTGTCCTCTAATAGAAGGGATGATTGGGTGAGGTCTGCAGTGAGGTGTGGTAATAATAATAGCAATAGCAACAGTCTCATAGCCAGGTACTTGGTGATATCATTTGCTTATTTGGTCAGAAGCTGGGGCTGCCCTGCCTGGCTGCATCTGGATTCAGGCTCCTGCACTGATGGGCTCATGAGGGCTGTGTGCTTCAGTGACTTAACTCGCAGGCTCGTGAGCATTGAGTCCGTGTAGATGAGGAAAGGCTTGGAGCAGCGCCTGTCCCAGGAAGCCTCTAGTGTGTGCTCGCCCTACGCTGCTGCTGCCTTCGCCACCACCATGAGGGCTGGCTTCATTTATAGATTTTTTTTAAAATACTGAATTTAAACGTTAGCGTCTATACGCAAGGTCTTTTAGTTTTTGAAAAGAAGGAATTAGGCAGCAAAGCCAGAACATCAGGAGGCTGGGATCCCTTGAGTGCGGCTCCGTGCAGCCCCTCTCCACCTGTGTGTGTCAGGATCACGGCTCTGTGCAGCCCCCTCTCCACCTGTGTGTGTCAGGATCACGGCTCCATGCAGCCCCTCTCCACCTGTGTGTGTCAGGATCACGGCTCCATGCAGCCCCCTCTCCACCTGTGTGTGTCAGGATCACGGCTCCATGCAGCCCCTCTCCACCTGTGTGTGTCAGGATCACGGAACAGCTGGAGGCTTCAACTTGTACCTTCATCTGCCCGCCAGCGGGATGGATTCTCTCTTCAGATGCTTGGCAGTGCAGAGTCACTCCACAGCTGGGCGTTTGCGTCAGAGCGAGATTCTGCACATTTTCTTAGACACATGGGCTGGCAGGGTTGAGTCCAGTTGTGACCCTGTGACCTCACCTGCCTGGCCCTCTGTTCTTCAGTAGCAGGCTTTAAGGTGCATGGTGCCACCAAGATTAGGAGCAGTTGCACGCAGTGCTAGTGTCTACCTGGAGTGCTGTTTTGTTGTGATAATGTGAAGTTTTATCCTTCTGAGAAGAGTGCGTGCAGATTTTGTTAATGGAAATGAGTAGTGCTCACGAGAGAGGAAAACTGCCAAGACCCTCCAAACAGAAAGCAAGTGTGGGTGACGGCCTGGAGCAATTGCAACTTTGTGCCTCGCCTCTGGGAATGTTAAATGGCACAGCCCTGAAGGAGAACAGCATGTGGGTTCCTCAAAAAGTTGAAACTAGGACTTCCTTCCAATCCAGCGGTTCCACTTCTGAGTGTGCCCAAAAGAACTGAAAGAAGAGTCTGGGGTACACTCGTGTGATAGCATCATTCATTATAACTGCAACCTGGAAGCAGCCCGGGGGTCCATTGTCACCTGAACGGATAAGCAAAATGTGATCTGCCCAGGGACAGTGGAATATCACTCAGCCGTAAGGAAGAACGCTTGACACGCCTCACCACATGGATAGCCTGGAGGACGGTGCGCTCAGTGAAGTGAGCCAGTCACAGAAGCAGACTGCGGTGATTCCCCTAACACGAGGGACCAGAACAGTCGCTTCTTAGTGGTACTGTGTGAGGTACTTAGAGGTACTGTGTGAGGTACTTAGAGGTACTGTGTGAGGTACTTAGAGGTACTATGTGAACACTGTA